TGTAAAATCATTTAATTATTAGCTATTGTTTATATAGCAAAAAGGAGTGAGTGCTCTTCAGTAACCCTGTCAAATATTTCTGTGACTAGTTATGTCTTTTTAAGAGGCTTTTGACAGCACAAGTACTTTAAAAGGAAATATTTTATTTGTTCAGTTGTTAGATTTATTTGCCTCCCATCTCATTTCGAAGTGACACTGGGTGGCTTACAGCCTTAAGATGCTCAAATTGTAGTTCAAAAAAATCTTTGGCTTAAGTGTTAATTCACTTGTCAGTTACAAAATGGAAAAAAACTAGACTCTTAAGTCATGGAATTGTAAGTGGAGACTGTTGCTTTATCACCTTTGAACTTTAGCCTAATAAAAGCCTGACACATGCTTTCCATGTGGGCAGAGTTTCTCAGTATCTGCTGTGACAACTCTATGAAAAAGAAGTTATTCCTTATATAGAAGCAAAAATACCTCAACAAAAGTATTCTGCTTTTCCCCCAAATAATTCACATTTGAAATGTGAGGGCCATTCAGTTTGCTGACAATATAGGAAGGGGAAGCAAATTGTTTGGTTTGGATGAGAAATTGCTTTAAATTAAATTTAAAACATGTGAAACAGATAAAAATTGTTGCCTGAATGGTATTAATTTTGTATGTATTATTGAAAGGATAATTTAATTCTGTGTTATGCGCCTTAAAACCTACAGAAATGTATGTGTGTAGAGTATTTTGTTGCACAGGGGTGGCAACATTTTCAAGTGGCAGGAGCGCTATTGCACAATTTCATTTAAATACAGTATTCAAAATTGAACACTCCTATGAAGGCAGAGCCAAATCCTATATAAGAACTCAAATAAATAAATAAATCATGTTACAATTTTAAAAGTCAAGTCCTTTAGCACCATCTAGTGGTTTTATAAATGCAGTAGTGCCTATAGGTGCTGCATTGTTGACCCCTTTTCCTAGGACCTAGGTAATCTACCGGGGAGTATTTACACACTAACACTGGTTAAAGATTATCTGCTGAAATGCACACTGGTTTCTGGATTAATTAAATCTGATAGAAATAATAAAAGTCTGGTTTAAAGGCAGGAGTCTCCTTACATCTCTGCAGTCAAGTTTTCTGATTTGCACACATCAATTGTAAAGACCTTCAGTTGTGCAGGTAGTCCTCGACTTACAACCATTTGTGTAGGGACTGTTTGAAGTTAAAACGGCATTGAAAAAAGTGACTTATGACCATTTTTCACACTTAACAACCATTGCAGCATCCCCATGGTCACGTGATCAAAAGTTGGACGCTTGGCAATTGGCATGTATTTATGATGGTTGCACTGCCCCAGGGTCATATGATCACCTTTTGTGACCTTCTACCATGTTTCTCCAAAAAGAAGGCTGGGTCTTATTTTCTTTTGACCCCCGAAAAAACGGCTAGGCCTTCTTTTTTGGAGGGTTCTGATTATTGACTCATCTTGCAACGGTGGCACCGACAGCTAATAATAGAGCTCCGGATTGATCCAAAGCTCTGTTATCAGCTGCATATGCCTTCCAGTAGGCACCTGAAGGCAAAACGGAGGCCGGGATGATGCGTGTGAGTGGGGGCAAGTGGTCTCAGTAGAAGCGGCTGCAGAAGAAGGCGAGGCAGGTGTTGGGTTGTGCAAGGCCTGGTAAGTAGGGCAGCACTGCCCCATTCTCACCCTAGCTTATTTTTTACCTGTGTGCCTTGCTCTACCCCCTGACCCTGGGGTGAGTGGGATCTTAATTAGGGCTAATTTTGTGGGTGGGCTTAATTTGATTGCATGCGCTCAAAAACGTGATAGGGCTTCTTTTCAAGGTGGGTCGTCTTTTTGGAGAAACATGGTAGCAATGGAAATTTTGGGGTCAATTGTGGTTGTAAGTCGAGGATTTAATTAATTTAATTTAATTAATTAAATGTATATGCCGCCCCTCTCCGAAGACTCAGATTACTTGTATATCAACTTTAGGTTTATATCCAAATACAATTCCCCTTAGCCCTTGTTTGTTTTTGAAATTATCTTTGAAAACTCCTTTCCTGTTCAGTTGGCGAATTCACTTTGAAGAGGTTTCTACAAATTATGTTTTGTATAAACAGATGTACTGTATTTATGAATTTGAATAATACCAAGAGACAATTTCTTGCCTGTAAAGTCAGACAATAATGTATTAGTAATGGTGAATGTGTTGCTTAGCATTTAAGATTTCCTCAATTCATCATACAATAGCAAGTTATTTTCATGGTGTAGGTATATGTCTATGCAATAATATGATATGAATATTGACACAGAAAAGTTAGTAAATATGTGTTCTACTTGTATGATTTAACATGACTTGCTGTGAGCAGCTGTCATCCTTAACAATTTCCAATGCATTTTTTCCGTAGTTATCCATATTGTTAATGCGGTTTAAGAGGCAGTTTCATCTTTCTTTTTTATCTTAGTGCCTACGTATAAAAACAAATATGTTGTAATACGTTTGTCCGATATGTATTATTCCAATGTTTTAGACTGTAGTTAATACTTTTCTTAGACAATTATTGCTGTCAAATGATGATGGGAGTTTTAATCTAATAAAACATAAATGGATGGTAGAAACTTCAGCGAGGCTTATGATATGATAATTCTTTAGCATCTTTGGAAGAAAAAAAAAAAAGATAAAGTAAGCTAATTTTCCATAACTCTTCTTTGGAACAAATATGAATATATTTTTAAAAAACCAGACAGTTTTTAAAAAACTTTTATATTCAGTTCCAGAATTCCTTAGGTCATTATTAATTTTAATATTACGGTTTGTTTTGTTTTTTTTAAGGAAAAATTCAGTCCTGTTGCTGACAGTAAGAATAGTGTACAGTTTACAAATGTGGCTTAGTATCATATACATGAACATAATATTTACATTAATTTAATGGGTTGAATGCATTTGCATTCTTCCCTTTGGTTGAAGAGTTCTTGATCCTGTGAAAGGCCCCCCCTTGTCTGGAGAAAGTTGACTCTGTTCTCACCAATTTCCTCTGCAGCCCTCCAAAATCAGCTTAGGGGGACTGGGAGTCTTTCCAGAACAGTATGGAATGTGGCACAGAGAAAAGGGTAATTGATGAAAATTGCTTCCCTATCTCTTCTGCTAGCTGAGTTCTCCATTGATTCAAAGAGTTGTCTGCAAACAGAAGGATTCCTTCTGTTCCTGGAAGGGATTGTTGGTTATAGTTCACAGCTGTGACTTAATCCCCCCCCCTCCTGAGATTTAAGGGAGGTGAGGGTCCTTCCAAGACCTTTTGTGCAGATGTGAAAAAAGTTTCCCTAAACAGTGTCCAGGACATCTGTTGAAAAGTGGCAGAGGAACGGAGGTGCTTCATTAGATATTTTTAGAGCTATTTCTTTTATTTCTTCTTGAGGCTTAGTTTAGAGGTATCTTTTTTCAGGAGAGTATCTGATATGCAGATGGCTACTGTGAAGAATCTTAGAGAATCTTTTTAACACATTTTCTATGGCGTAAGTTTTCATAACCCATAGAAAATGGCGCACTATCCTAGACAAAAAATAATAATACTCCTCTGTTGGACTCTGATGCCATATGTTGATAAAAGCTACGCCCTAATATATTTATTAATCACCATAATATTCTGTTGTTGTTCCTGTTCCTCTTCCTCATTGTGATGTGAAAAAAGTTGTGTGGATTATTTTCCAAATAATTTTTTAAAAAGGCAACTTTTGTCCATTTTAATTCAAAATGCATAGTAAAAGGAGGAAAGTCTGAAGAACAAAATGATTTGCCCTGCCCTGCTTTAAATCATGCTTTGCTTTCTTTTCCTCCCCCTTTAAATCTTTTGTCATCTGGAATACATTTTAGGAAAACCAGACATGTATTACTGTTTGCAATGTGGACCTCGTTTGTCCTATTCTGTAATACTGTTTAAATAGCTTTCACAGCTGTCTCTGAAGTCCTTGATAAAGATGTGGGACAAAGAAGGGAAAAGCAGTGGGAAAGGAAAGAAAAAAGGAGATTGACTCAGGTATTCTGAGCAAAAAATGAGTATTTCAACATTCTAAAAAGCAGTTATAACTATGTGGGTCCATGGGGAAAAACCCAAAATCTAAAGCTGCATGATCCCTTTATTAAGAGCGACCAGATTTTATTTCTGTTCCCTTCTTGTGCCTGACAGAATGCAGAAATAAAGAAACATTAGTGTTTTTATCCACAAGTCTGGGGAATAATTTGGCTTGTCTGTAAAATGAATGAAACCGTTTCTTAATGATTGGAAGAAATTTTCACCCTCAAAATATACAGTATAAATTTTCAGAATCAATTTTTCTAGTCTATGCAAAGCATCCTCCCAAGTTCCATAAGAAGTAACCGTAGATATCATTGATCTTTGGTAACAATAAACAAATCAACCCAAAATACATAAAAGTTCTATATAACTCAATAGTAGTGTTTTTGTAAAACATTATACAATTATTATTTCCATTCTGTTCTATTTATTACTTTGTCTTGTACATATTTCAAGATTAGTGTGCAGTGCTGGGATGAGTATTCATTGGTCTTTAAAGTATAAGTCTAGACATTCATTGGTCGTTAAAGTATAAGTCCTTGAAGGCGAACCTATGGCATGCATGCCAGAGGTGGCACGGAGAGCCATCACCAGCTGCTTTTCTGGTTTCTGGCACGCCCCGGAGCACCGGAAACTGGAAGACCAGATGGCCGGTGCACATGTGCATGTCGGCCACCTAGTATTCTGGTTTCCGGGGCTCTGGTGTGCGCGAAGACCAGGTGGCCAGGGCATGCGCATGCCGGAAACCAAAGACCAGGTGGTCTTCTGGTTTCTGGCGCTCCGGGGCGTGTTCCGGTTTTGGCACTCGGTGCTGAAAAGGTTCGCCGTCACTGGTATAAGTCTTGTTGCAAAATATTTCAAATGAGAGACAAGTGGTTCTTTAGCATGCTGTTAATGTATTGGGTATCTATAGATTAAAGAACTGTTTAAACCTCTGTTTTAACAGGCCAGCACGGATGCAGGAACGGCAGGAGCTCTAACTCCTCAACATGTTCGTGCTCACTCTTCTCCAGCTTTGTTGGGAACAGTTTCTCCAGGCGCCCTTACTCCATCTGGCGTAGTTCCTGGAGGTACACCCTCTCAGCATCTCCGTCAATCATCTTTTGAAATCCCTGATGATGTACCCCTACCACCAGGTTGGGAGATGGCAAAGACACCTTCTGGCCAGAGATATTTTCTGAAGTAAGTAAAAGTATGAAAGATGGGGAGGGGAAAAAACGATGGTGCTGGCAGTTTTTGGAACAGCATTTGATTGAATTCTTCTCTTTTGCTGAATCTATTCATCCAAGATGTAGAAAATTACACTGTCTGAAAAAGTTGTGCTGAAGTAACGTGGTTACATGATTTATATTTAAAAGCCTAAATGGTGTGTCATCTGGGTTCTTGAAGGAACCATCTTTCTGTTCAACTTTTGGTTTGCTTGTGTGGTCCCTGAGAGAAATGCCACCATAAATGTAGTTTTATTTATAGGCTTAAGTACGAATGAAAAGATTAAAATGCATCTTAGAAAGTATGAATTGGTTGTGGTGCATATGTATGAAAATAGGAGTCTGTAGGTAGGAATCCATTTTCATTTGATTATAGTCGCATGTTATACTGATGGTGAATCGTGAATGAAAGAATCAGAAGTGAGTTTGGAACTTTCTGAGTGAATGTGATTCAGGAGAGAGAAAAAATACTCTGCTAGGTGACAGAAAATAGACTTATTCTCATTGAGCGTGGGGCCAGCGGTCAGGAACGGGTTAACTCTTGTCTGATGTCCATGGACCGAGTTTGCAAACTGATAAGCTCCTCCTCTTCCTCTCGCTCCCCAGCTTTCAGACTCGGTCTGATTTGGACTAGACACACTTTCCTGAGCGGCCCGTTTCTGATCGTTAACTCCCAAATTGGTTGAGTTTGCCTCGTTTGCTCCCTGTTATCTAGGTTGAGCTTTTCCAGCGTGCATCAGGGCTGGGGGCTCCCGGTTCTGGTTGAGCCCCCCCCCATATCAAAATAGACTTATTCATTATGAGCTAGATGAGCAGAATCTCATAAGATGCCTGAAGTATCTTGCAAAAACATCTTGGATTTTTTCAAGAGTGATTCCTGAGAAAATTGACAGATATCTCTAAAGGATGAGCTCCAGCCAATTGAGAATTAGATATTTGTCTCTCTTGAATGATGTGAGCCCAGAGAAATTATTGTGGCATAAGTGGGGGTGAATATGTCCCTGGCAGAGGGGATGGTATGGCTCAATTGAATAGTAAGTAGTGTTTCTCCCTCAAAAGACAGCAATTTCTTGACTTCTGTCTGGATATACCAGCTACTCTCCAAATCAGTATATCTTGTTCAGGTGATTGAGAAGGATCCTGGATGAGATAGATTTTCCTGTCTAGTCTTTCAAAGTTGGGCTTGGGATGGAAATGACATTGTCATTATGGCAGGACTTGGAGAAGTGGTAGCTTTTTACTTCTTGTCTTAGTCAACCTCAGTGCCTTTCTTCATTGTATCCCTTTGTGTTATCTGCAGAGGGTGGGGATTAGAGACATTGTTCTGGGCGAGAGCCTTGCAAGAGATTGGCAGGTTCGCACTTGGAGAATTACATTTTCAGTAGCAGCTTTTCATTTTTAGGATAGTATGGGATCATAGGTCTCCTTATTATTTTGGACAGGGCAGAGTTTGGCATGAAAGTGATGAAGATATCCCTTTCTGTTGGGAAAATTGGATCATAATTGGACAGTAATAATTTGCCGAAAATTCTGAATTGCTTTAATGATTTTTTTTTTTAATTTTGTATATTGTAAGCTATCTAGAGTTGCTTGAGTAAGTATCATAATCTTGTTAAATAAATAAGTAAATGAATGAATGAGTCAGGGAATGAATGAATGAATAAATGAATGAGAGGATATGAGAAAGCAACACAAAACGGTATAGACAGTTATTGGGCTATTTGGAGACCCCAGGATGATGGAGAATAATAATTCTTGGGTAAGAATAAAAGATGATAGATATCCTTTGCTTCAAAGACATGGCTTATAAAGGAAAAAAATCTAAAAGCCACTTAGTCTATATTAAAAGACAATAATTTACAGAGTGCCACAAATGTATAGAAGTATACGGAAAAAAGATGCTTGATGGAATGAAGAGGATGCTTGATGGAATTACGAAATGAAAAAACTTTGTGGAAGGAAAAATAGATCTATGTGTAATTATTACAAAAATGAGGATTCATTTAGAGAAAGTTGCCAAGAATGTTGTCATGGAAAGCAAAGAATGGTTAAGATTGGTCAGCTATTTCTTTGCATTATTTCCATTATATTTGTCACCTTTCTTGCTGTAATAGTTTTCACATACATGCCAGTATATTTAGCCAAATGATAACTTAAAGCTAGCAGAGATAGACAATTTATAGTTATGGTTTGCTTTTATTCCGCATAGATTCCTAAAATTGCAGGAAGTTGTGCATAAATTAGTGCCCGGTTGAATTTGTTGTGTGCAAGGAAGCACTTCAGTAGATTAATAATTACCTTCCTTATAAGGGTATTTGTATTGTTTAAGTCATATCATAAGAGTGTTTGATTTGTGTGTCCTGCCTGGGATGAAATTAACATATAGAAATATTTTTTGGTAACTGCCTCATTGTTTCTTCCTTTCTCCAGAAGTTATTGATGGACTCAATACTCTTTCACTCTCTGGTTCTGAGACAAAGTGACTGAGCCAGGGTCTTCCACAGCGAGCTTCATAGCTGACTGGTGACTTGAGACTTGTTCTCCCTAGTCCTAATTCAATTTTATCCAATGCATACATTGTGTCTCAGTAGGTTTGTATTGTTTTGGTTCCCTAGGCTCAACACTTCACTTAAAAAATGTAGCCGGTACACACTGTTATACTGAACAGTCTTTTGAGAACATTTTCTGCTGGTTTAAACTGTTTGCATCAACTGCTAATATGGCTAGTTGCAGATAAACTCTTCAGCCTGAACTAGAAACAATTTTGGGCTGTAAGAAAGTTTAGTGGAAATAATGAAAGGGTTATGGATGGGTATCCAAATGATGCAGCAGAAGGGGACAAAGAGGGAACATTCAGTTGGTGCAAAAATGTTAGAAAAAAATACAAGATACCAAGAGAGAAATAGTAAAAAGTCACCAAAAAGTCAATAAAGGATGTAATTCTAAAAAGGCTAAGAGATGATGGATAGAGATAAAATATTTTGTAATATGATGATTGTGTTAAAAACTAATAGAAAAAAGTAGAAAGTATAAATTGGGAAAATAGCACACCTATGGATATATAATAGAATTTATTATAACTACAAATATACTAAGGTTAGGAGGTGAAAGACTATGATTAGGTATACTTAAATGTATTATTATTAACAGTGTGTAATAATATATATTGAAATTTATAGCTTTTAAGGACTAAATTCAGGGGGCTTGGAGATATAATCTTGGGACATTAAACTTTGGAGATATAATCTTGGGACATTAAACTTTATCAACAATTGGTTTTATTGATGTTTATAGAATATTGAGATAATGGAATTATGGTGAAACATTGAGTAATATCTAAAATATTAAATATTAGTGATTCAGCAGGGGTCAACAAATACACTGTGTGAAGAAATGTTATTGATGTTTAAATATATTTATGGAGAAAGTGATAAAGAATTATAAAGAAAGAATGGTATTGTTTAAAGGCAAAGATGTGAAGGTAGAAGAACCCCAACAAATGGGGGGTGGGAAACAAGCACAAATTGGGAAAACAATGTTATATATATTGATACATAAAGAATCTATTATAATTACAACGAGCATATTAAGGTTAGAAGTTGGAAAACAAAGATTATGCATATTTAATTGTATTATTATTGTTAGCACTGTGTAGAAAATATATTGACCCAGTCAATACACTGTCCACAAAATATGTAAAAGAAAATTATAAATAAAACACACACACACACACACACACACACACACACACTTTAGTGGAAATAAACAGTTCAGGCCTGTTCAATTTATTCTACTTGGTGATAGGTCACACAGTTGAACAGGACATGCTCTACTTGCAGAAGAATCAGGGCATTGGTACCTCCAGTTAATAAGATTAGGTAATAGGTAATGGAAAATAGCTTTACTTAAGTCCTGGGTAAAGAATAATGGAGCAGATAAAGATGCTTTATAATATACAGCCATTATATAGCTAAATAACAAGTTGAACCCAAACAATACTGCAACCATTAAAAATCCATGATTCTAGAGACAATACAGTTCAGTGGATTTGAAGGCCAGCTTAGGCAAAATAGGGAAAGATATTTCTGAGTGAATTATAAACAATTGTGAACAAGATAAAAATAAATTCTGAAAGTCTTTTCTTGACAATTTGAGGTGGAGACTTCTACCTTTGTGAGCAATTCAGTCTTAGGAGTTTGCCATATCTATTACCTATGCTTTAATCCGTGCTTCTTGGATACAGTTTTGTTGGCGGATTCCTGGAATCTTATCACAAAATGTTTAAAATTTCTGAATTATCTAGACTACAGACTGTTTTGTCTTAAAACACATTCTTGGGAAGACCCAGAAAGGGGAATGGAACACCAATCATAATATAAGTAGTAATATTGTATTGTTCAGTGCTTACAAACATGTATAACTCCTAATCCAAAAGTTAAATCTATTCTGATAGACCTTTTTTCTTGTTAGCTTTATTCCATTGGAGAGAAAAATATGTATTTTTATCTGGAGTATCAATATTTTGTACTGCATAAATAGAAAGTACAAAGAAAGTTGACTTTTGCTATGATATATTTCTGTCATGATGTTTGACTTTCACATGACCTCAAATTAATATCACCTTTTACTAGCCAGATAGACTGACCTTCTCCATGATGATCTGTACCACTGTGACTCTTAAGGATTTCCAGCTTTACATCCACTACTGCAGCAATTACATCTGTCTATCTTTGTATTGGTCTTCCTCTTCTCTCTCTTTTCATTTTCCCCATTTCATGGGCTTCTCAGTGAAGCTGTGATCCCCATAATGTGACTAAAATATGTTAATTTAAACCTAGTCATTCGGGCCTTGTGTGACAATTGAGAAATGATTTGTTCTAGGATCTATTTGTTTGTCTTCTTGGCTGTCTGTGGTATTCTTAGAAATCTTCCTCAACATCAAAGTTCAAATATGTCAATATTCTTTCTATCTTG